TTATATATAACAAGACTTTGGAGCTATTATAGAGAGATTTTTGGTGGCATGAAATGTAGAAGTTAGTCAAAAACTTTGTACAATCATGTGATATTTTTTTAAGATAAAAAATTCTTAATCATTGACCTTATAGACTTTTTCAACCATTATCTATTCTTGAACAACCATGATCTTTTATTTCTGTGGATTTTATTATCAATCTTTCAATGTTAGGTTTTTTTGATTTTTTATTTATAATAATAGATAAATTCACCAAAATGGTATATTTTATAGTATGTATAAAATCTATTATAAATAAAGAAATAGTTAAATTTTTCTTTAACAATATCTATTACTATTATAGATTATCAAAAGATATTATATCAAATGAAAAAATTTAATTTATATTAAGATTTTAAAAAATTCTTTTTAAGATTCTAAAGGTGGATATAAAACTAACTTTGATTTTTTATTGTCAAATTGATGGCCAAAAAAAAGAAAGTAAATTAAGTTTTAGAATAATATTTGAGATGTACCATCGATTATTAATAAGATGATTGAACAACTCTTTTATCATTAGTAGAATTTATTTATAATAATAAAATATAATTTTTTATTCAATAAACATTTTTTTTTTATCAATTACAGTTATTATTTATGATTTGATGATTTTGACTTTTTAAATGTTAATAATCTTTTGATAGAAGATTTAGAGAATTGTTTGTAAAAGCTACATGCAACAATAAAGGTTCAATTAAAAGAATATTAACAACAACAAAAGATTAATGCAGATGCTTACGACAAAAAAAAAACTCAATTCCATGTTGGTAATAAGATATAATTACTTTGTCATAATATCAAGACTATTTGCCTTTGTAAGGAATTTGATTACCATAGAATTGGACCCTTTCTTATATGTGAATAGATTAATCTAGTTGTTTACCAATTATATCTACCAAAGTCTATGAAGATCCATCCTCTTTTCTATGTATTTTTTCTTGAAATACAAAATAATTGATATATTAAAAAGATGACAAATACCACCTCCTCTTATAGAAGTGGATAATAACCAAGAGTATAAGGTTGAAGAAGTATTAGACTCAAGGCAATGCCAAAATAAGTTAGAATAATTTGTTCATTGGCTTAAATATGATATTAGTGAACATATATGGGAGTCAGCCAAAAATCTTGCAAATGTAATAAAGAAGATTGATACTTCTTATAAATAACATCCATCAAAACTAAGTTGAAGGATAGCAAATTTTTGCTATGAAAAAATTACAATTCAAGAAATATTGCATTCAATCTTTTATCTTTATTCATAGTTTTTTATATTTGTAGCATTAAAGAGATGGAGAACCAACAATCAATAGATTCAACTCAAAAGCCATTATTTGCTAATTTAGCAAATAAGACGTTGCAATTATCACAATCTTTAAGTCATTAGAAAATATTAGTAACACCATCATTATTGATGATAATACAATTTGATAGTGTTAATAATGTTATATTTGAAAGAAGTTATGAAGGCCTCAAGAATGATTAAATAATAAGGTAATCTTTTTGCCCCACAATAGAACATTATTAATGGTTAAAAATCCATATTAACTAACTTTAAAGAGAATAAAGATCAAAGTATGTGGCAAATTAAATTCATTATATCTTAAACTTCCTCAACATGTAATCACCACTCTTCATGGAACTTATTCCTAAAAGGGGGATAATATCATGGATATAAATATTTATTCCAATAATTATCTATATATTATGAATATATAAAAGTAAGTTAATTTGGTAATATCTTGGAAAGTGGCTTCTTTGAAGCTTTATAGATGTAGTTTCACCTATATATGTGTCTATAGGTAATTGATAAGTTAGAAATTTGGCCAACAAGTTAGCTATGTGTTGTACATGTTGATAGCTTATGATATAAGCTAATAATGAGGCACAAATATAAGAAACTTGCCTTGCAAGTTAAGACACGTTGTCTTAATGTAATACGACTATATAGTGAAATTATAATGAAAATCGAATTTCTAAATAATATCTAAATATCTTAGTTCAATTATAATTTGAGATATCTAAACATGGCTTTTATAAAAGCCTCTTAAGTTATTTTCTTATCTTAATAGTTGGTAGGTTGAAAGTTAGTTAATAATTTTACCTTATATGTTATAGAGACTCTTCTACTACCTTAGAAAGACCATAAATTGATAAAAATCAGATTAAAAGAGGTAAATAATTACTAAAGTTGGTACTAGGGTTAAGTTGAGAGTAGGTTTGGGCTAAAAAATCCTTAGGATAGATTAGATTGATACCCAAGGATTGACCGTTTGTGAGACAGGATTGAAATCAAACCTCTGGCTACTAAAACAATGGCTTAGGATAAAATAGGGATTCATTTGAAGATCGGAGGATAGGATTTGAGAGCTAGCTTGAAGTTCTTTCCAAAATCATAAGGATTATTTTTGGAGGGTTTTTGAAGACTTAGAAATTGTTATTCAAAATCAAGATTTGTATTGGTGATTTGGATTTTATTTAATATAATTAGGAATAGCAATTTTGGCTAGTTTGTGCAATTGGTGTAACATCTGCAGTTAAAAAAATTGATATTTTTTGGATTATTAGATGTGCTAAGTGTACACAAAATTTTGTGATAATCTAACGGCGTGGTTTAGAGATGTCTGGTTTTTAGCAAAAGAGGATTTTGGAAGTTGGCAGTTTAAGGTTGGATAGAGTTTTTATGATATCTAGAGATCTATTAGTTGGATCTAGTTGAAATTTGGCATGGTGTTGAAGGACTTGAAGATCAAGCTACATACAAATTTTGAATCAAAGTTAATGGTTGAAAAGGGAGAAATCATTGCTGGGATTTTTGCTTCACTTTTCAAGTTGGCAGCTAAGTGACATCAGTGCAATTTTTGGAGGTTTTCTCACAATTTGTACGTTGGATTGGGCTAAAAATTCTTAAGCATATAGAAGACTTACATTGATAATTGCATAGAAAATTTTAAATCAAGTGGATGGTCGGATTGGATGTTACAGCTTGTTAAAGCTCACTAATTATGATTGAGGCTTATAAGAAAAATCTAAATTGCTTAAATAAGAAAGTTACAAGGTAATTGGGATTTATGTATGGTTAAGGCTACTAAGAAGAGTGTTTTTAGCACTTTTGAATTGAAATTCAGATTATATTCTTCTCGTATGGGTGAAACCTATTAGGGTTTCTTGGATACTTGTGAAACACAACCTCACCTTCCACAACTAGGTGCCCGGTGTATTCCCGAGTAAGACAATATGTAATTCGACAATGTGTCTTATAAATTAGACATGTGTCAAATGTCTTATGGAATATTGCCACATAGCTTTTAATTAGATAGTATATATAGAAGCAAGAATGAAGAAAGATTCATTATTATCAATGCCTTTATAGTCTTTAGTCTTATTTTAGGACTTTTTAGTCTTCTTGTCTTTGGCAAAAGTCATTCCAGTTTCAATACTATATTAGTTTTGAGTGAATATCTATTCTTTTTGAGTTACATAAAAATACATTAGATTTTTGGATCTTTAGAATTCATATATTTGACAATTTTAAATCTTAGTAGAAATAAACTATCATTAGATGAATTGGTCATAATTTTTTTTTTTTTTTTTTTTTTTTTTTTTAGATGCAAAGATCAAAAAAAAAAAGAAAAAAGAAAAAAAAAAGACAATGATTGTTTTTAATAATATATATATATTTATATTTATATTTAAATTATACTTATAAAAAATAATTTAATAAGTATTAATTGATTTTTAGAAAATAAATATCTATTGTTGTTTTTACAATATTAATTTTTGTTTTATGTTGTAATTTTATTATTGATATGCCATAATTGCTTCTATTATTTTGAATCTATGTTTTGTTAAATGCATATTATAACAAACATTTGAAAAGATTATACATGTGTAGCAATTTAATAACTATTTAATTTGATTATTTTTGGAAGAATTCTTAAGAAGTACTTTCAAGAATATTTAATAATTCAAGTATCAAAATTTTAGATTTTAAATTAATTAAAGAAATATGAAATAATTAGATATTTAATTTTTTTTTTTATTGTTTTTTGATATTTTGATATCTATTAATATGATGGAGTTTTTGCACTTAATTATATTAGTATCAATACATTTTTTTTTTGGAAAAATAAATTATTTTTAGATTCATTGTAATTTATTATAAAATTTTATTTAAATAATTATTAAAAAAGTATAATGAGATTTTTTTTTTAATAATTAAGATATTTTAAAGTTGTTGAATTATAGTGCCAAAAATAGAAGCTTAATTCAATACAAAATTACATTCATGGTTTTTATTTATTATATTAATTACTTAGAAAATCCTACAAATGGAAATAGAAGACAAAGTTAAATGTAAAAGTACATCAATAGAAATTCTTTTAGACTATAGACATCATGGATAAATACCATATATTACATCATTATCTTTAAGATGATATTTTGAGAAAAGATTATGTTCTTGGATTGTTGATGTTTAAGTTAGGAAAAAAAATATATATATATATATATATATATGTACATATACTACCTAAAAATTCTAAAAACTCTAGTACTAATGGATAGGAAAGTTCTTGATAGAACCCAAATCTCATGTTGAAATCTTTATACGGACATAAACTTATACTCTTACGTTTATAATTCTAAACCATTCATACTACACCATTTTAAAATAACATGTCTTCACTTAGGGTCATTGCCCTTAGATTATCAAATCAAACAAACAAGCCAACAAAATTTACCCAAAATCTCTCAAAATATGATTCAAGACCGGCTACAACTCTTATCATCTCCTACCTTTGTACCATCCTGAGATATACACACACACACACAAATAGTTCCCCATTGACTGGTTTTATGTAAACGTGGGCCTTGGAAAGGAGGATGGAGATAAGATTTTTCTTACCACGACGTCCTTCCTTCCTCCCACCCACCCACTCGTCGTCGCCATCCCCATGAGGATGGAGGAGGGAGAGGAGAAGCAAGGCGGTGAAGTGTCGGGCATGCCGAGAAAAGAGAGAGAAAGAGTAGATCTTAATGTTCTCACGAGGGAGCATGGAATCATAAGAAAATAATAATAATAATAATGTTCGAGGGAGGCCAGTAGGATGAGAGGCACGGATTCGGAAGAACCATAACCAGCAAGGCTCGGTGCAAGCAGCAGCAGCAACACACACCCCATGTTCCATAGTCCATGCCCCTCCCGGGACACCGGGGCGATAAGGCTCCCCCTCCGTCGCCAAGCTTGCAGTATGGGCCTAACCTCACCATTTCATTCATGCCCATGTTGCCTCCTCCACCTTGCGTGACAATCCCGAAATCCACCCTGCCTACTGGACACGATCTCGCCTCTTTCTGATGATGCTGATGATGCTGAAGTAGACGCTGAGCTTTAACCGAACAACGCAGACTGCACGTCCACTTGCTTGCACCGGGTTTTGCAGTGGCATTGCTGTGCTGCGGGGGAGAGATTGAAAGGATCCAGCAGCGAGGCAGGGGGAGAGGGAGGGAGCCTTTAGTGCCTTGGGTTTGTGTTTGTTTGCAGAGTAGCGTTCGTGCTGGTTTCGTGTCATCGAAGGGTGAGAGGCGGAAGCTGGTGATAGAGGTGGTGGGTTGGTTTTTGGCTTGGAGTTTCTTCGAGCTGCTTGCTGAGGTTTGTTGAAAGCTGCGGCCTTTGGGCTTTTGTTTCCTTTGACTTCGCACTCCAGTCGGTGGTCTTTGGTTGTTTTGGTTTGTTTCGACTTTTGGGAGTTTGCGACGTGGAATTTTTGCTGGGTAGAATGGAAGTTGCTGAAGTAATGATTTTCAGGACGTTCTGCAGTGGAGGTCGTTCGAGGATTTCGAAGAGGTAGTAGAAATTGGAAGGTCGGTAGGATGGGGCACACCTTGTGATACATCGAGCGGACATTTGAGTGGAGCTTCGCATTCTTGGAAAGACGCAGAGACCAATTGTTTACTCTCAGTCATCCAGAAATGTGAACTTAGAAACATCGACCAGAAATTATTTTGAGTTTTCTCTCCTTTTTTCTTTTTTCGAACAGTGTTTCTTAACTACCAAAGCCTTTTTCTTAAGACCGTGTTTACAATCTGCACTGCGTGGTCGAAATCGTCGATTGGCTTTCTCTATTTCCGCGTGTGTTTGTTACCAAATCTTGTAAGTGGTGAAAGAGCAATGTCGGAGATTCCTCTGACGATCGAATGAGTATCATGTCTCCTGGTCAAGTATAAAACCAGGTCTGTCAAAGCTGTGGTGGGTCGTTGAAGAACAGGCTTGTGCATTTTCCATCTGTCTGCAGCTCTGAAGGTGCGATAATTCGTGTTTGCAGGCCCAGGTTTTCCTGAACACGATGGGCACTTTGGCAGCTATCAATGAAGCAATTTCATGTCACCATTTGATCCATTCCATCACCAAGGCAGAGGGTCCAAGCACTAGCAGCAACAACCTCTTTCAAAGGACGGGCCTGTTGGCATTTCCTCGTCAGCGAAAGTCCACATCTCGGTGCCGAAGCCATAGAAAACGAAATGTTTGGCAGTCATCGGCTACATCCATTCATGGATTGTCAGAGCTGCCCACAAGTATAGACGTAGAAGGTTTAGTGGCTGAGGCTCCCGCGTTGCTGGCGCTTTCCTCAGACCTCGATTGGCAGCAGTCTGTCGCTGAGCTGCGGGAAAACGCCCTTGATATGTTGAGTGCGCGGGGCGAGGCAGAGATTGCTTTGGAACGATTAGGAGACGACATGAGTGCTTGGTTGCATGATAAAATGTTCGAGAGTATCTTGCAACCGCCTCTCCCTAAGGGTGTCCAAAAGCTTCTAGAATTTAATGAACTCAGCATCCGCATTAGCGTGGAGGAATTGCGGTGGCAAGCTGCCCTACAGGTACAATCGGCATGCTCTGCGTGGTCGGAAGCCCACTTTACCGACTTTCATTTATCCCCGTGTCATTCGTCGTGAGGTTTATTCGTTAATTCTGGTCTTCTGAATCTCTATTCTCCTTTCTGGAACAGGCGACAGAGGAGCTAGCTCAAGGCGTGGAAGGTAGCTTTGATTGGGAATCCGAGGTTGCAGAGCTGCGTCAATGCGTTGCAAAGCAGGAACACGCTGATCTTGAGCACAAGTTATGGAATTCATGGCAAACTGCTCGTGAGAGTATGGACAGGGATGCTGAACTCCTGCAAAATGATGCACTCAAGTCAGAGTCGCAGGATGATTCTTACCTGACGCTGTTATCCGAAACTGGCATAGATAAGTCGTTGGAGCACGCCAACAGCTCACACGGTGCTCTTGAGAAGTCCGTCTCATGGTGGACCTTAGGTGTAGCGATGGTAGGTTGGTATGGAAGCCAAGCTATGGACTCCATCGCTGCCGAGGAGTCTGTCTCTTCAGCTGCCAGCGAGGTTGCACCGGGATGGGTGGCACCCTCCGTTCTGGCCTTCCCTGTGGTCTCATATTTCCTCTTCACTTTATACCGTAACAAGGTGGGTACAAACTCTTCCCTCCTTTCCTACAATGAATCCAACACCCTCCAATTCATACCATGAATCAACATGACACCCATCGTTTATGTATTTGACGATCCTTTTCGTCTACACAACCGAACTCTGAAAGCAGCTAGATGTGAATCGAATCCTCGCAGGTGAACCCATACGCCAAGCTTACAGACTGGGTGTTCGGACTCGTTGCCATGGGAATCATCGGCAACATCGTTCTCATCAAAACAGTTGGGGTAAGTCTCCAATTTTCATGTTTTAGTAGCCAGAGAGTTGTCACTGCAATTAGGAGTGATTATGTGGAGTGATTACAAATACTATCGCACATCTTCCACTAAATGAACGTGGATTCTCCTCTTCCCTCAGGTGCGGCTGTATTGAAACAGAAAGCACACACCCACACGCTGATTCAACTCATTCAAAGAGAGCAGCAGGGCGTTAGCTACAGCTACAACACCAAAGACATATTGTAAAGACGGAAGAGCTACTCAAACCAGCTTCATGGTTTTTGGAATTCGACGAAAACTTCAGCTTGGAAGCAGGGAGTGTATGAATATGTGTGTGTGTGTGGATGTTTGTGTCTGCCATCACTGTTTCAATGGACTCACTGCTGAATTAGGTGCGAGGATGTCACATAGCTTTGCAAACCACGCTTCATTTCGGCCAGAGTTTGCCAATGAATTGCTGTCAAACGTGGATTCGAAACATACTAAGACACTCTTTCAATTGATAGAACTTGTTTTTCACTCATCAAAAGAAATATACGACGCAGGCGTTATAAGAAAATGTCGTTCCATGGGTTTCAAAACTGATTGTTGTTTTTGTTCCTGTTCATAATTTGTTTTGTTCTTTGTTTTTTTGGTTTTCCCCTCCATTTTATTCAAGGTTTACTATGTTGGGTGGGTCCATAGAATGATGCCGAAATTATTATTCAGGAAAAAGAAATATATTTTACTACATGGAATCAAGAATGATATTTTGAGATATCAACTTTTTAGAAAGAACGTAACGCAGTACGTGCTGTTGATGCTTTGTATCTATTTTCCATAGGAATTTGTTCTATAATATCTCTAACTTTCAAGGCTTTTGATGATCGTGGCATTTTTCATGGAGCAAAGAAAAGCAAAAATTGGCAGATAAAAATTCTAACATAACATTCTAAAAATTCTGAGAATATCACTTAGCACAGAATGGATCTGTTGTGGAAACCACTAAAGATAAAAACAAACTTTTTATTTATTTAGCAAAAATATATATTCTCAAATATTTGGATTCATTTTTTTACATTTATTCATACATAAAATGCATACATATGCACGAACTGAAGAACTCTATTTTCTCACTTCTGTTTTTATTTATACAACTAACATCATTCTTGTATTTTTTTTCTGTTAAGATTTGTTTCATTTTTAAAACCATTCCTTTGGATTTTACAATTTTTTTTTTTAATTATAGAATTCAATTCATGCATTGGAATAAAAAGCCAAGTTTTGACTTTACTTTGAATAACGTAATAATTTATAATGAAAACATTTATGGGCATAATAATAAATCTATGACACATTAAATTTCCTTGTGGTTAACATCACACAAATTTTAAATCAAAACCTAGACAAAATCTAGATAAATCTAGGTAAATCTATCTGATAAAATCTACAAGGATCAATCACATGTTTAAAATTGGAACTTGTTTCATTTTGAAGTATTTTCCACTCTCACACAAAATTAACATTTTGAAAAAAATTGACAAAGTTGTAATGTGATTGGAAAAAATTCATTTTTATGATTGCAACAACTTTCTCATTAAATTTTAAAAATCAATGAGGAGTATCAAATCTACTACGATGGCCCACAGGAATTCAAACAACTTCTATCTAAACTACTAGAAAGGAAATGCAAAACTAAACTAGTTTTGATTGAGCCAACCAACATTTGGCAAAGTGACTAGAATTGGATGAGAGGAATTACTTGGAGTATAGCCAACTTAATAAACAACCAACAAACTAAAATTGCACACAACTCCTTGTTCAAAAAAATAATAAACAAAGTCAAAAAAAAAAAACTTATATCAGTATGAAAAGCGCAGGTGGGCAGATCAGAGGACTAGAAAATCCTTGCGACAGTGAGTTCAAATTCCGCTTGCAAACAACAGAATGAAGCCTCACATTAACCCACAATTCATTCATGTGGTACAGTATGATTATTGTCATTATTATTGTGAGACTGAGCATGGAATCTGGCATCCATTCCTCATCGTCTCATGACAAAGCCCACATTGCAGTGGATAAGATTCGGCATCATCATCATCATCTGAGCCCTAATCCAGCAATTCATCAGCAAATCCAAGACTCCTCCTCACTCATTCATTCACTCATTTAGTTAGTTATTAATTTATATATAGATAAAGGAATGTTTTCATGTATGTTGTGGAGTATAAATGGGGAAAGGGTGTGAAGGGTGGGAATGAGGAAGAGAGCTGCAAGTCCAACAGCCTCACTCACTCACTCACTTTCACACGGGGGGGAGAGTGAGTGGGTGCGTAGGAGCTGCAAGGAAAACAGCGAGGGCATGAGATGCGAAGTGCAACAATCCAGTTGCTCACATTCGGGGACTGTAAATCTGCACTGGCTCCGTGCTGCATCGATCATGGCCCCGCACATCCAAGCTCTATCTGCTCTTCTTCCTTCCCACCCATGTCTAGACTCCGCCATCGCCAGTAATGCTCGATGCTCGATGCTCGCATCACACTCGCCGCTCATCCCCCCGGCAATCATGCAAGCAATCAGGCAGTGAGTCAGTGAGTCAGTGAGTTAGTCAATCTGGCGCTGCGGTCACACCCGTGCTTTCGTCGAGAGTTGTTTGGCTGGGAGCTTCGAATGGGCCAAGCATTGTGACTGCAACCGTGCGCAAGAGAGGGAGGGAGAGAGGGGGTGAAGAGTGCGCACACACTGGCTACCCCAACAGCACCAACCATTCGCAAGTCTTCGTGTTGAAAGAGAGCATAAGCGAAGAAGCGATTCGCCATCGAAGACGCACAATGGGAAAAAGCATCCTCACTGTTACCGCCCGCGCCTCACCGCGACCGACGGTCAGAGTGCTCTACCTCTCTGTGTGGTCCGTGAAAACGTTTCCGACTGGAGGTCGGGGAAATGTGTCGAGAGCACGCGCGTAACGTCCATCGGACGGCTAGCTATTTTCACGTACGACTTTCGGTCTTTTAATCATAACGGGGCATGCGAAACCCCAGATGGTTGGCCGACCAACGGTCGCGTTGCAAAGTTTCGGGGCAGTTTGGCAGTGTAGTTGTGGGTCTTGTCTGTGACGGACTACCACTGCAGACCAATTTGTTTATGTTTTTTCCAGCTTCAGTCGATTCATTCCCCGCAGCCCCCCACGGTGCCAGTTGGGTACCCAACACACGAAAGGAGTGGGGGAGGGGAAGGGGAAGGAGAAGGAGAAGTGGAGTGCGTGAGAGCCGGGCCTTGTTGCTGTTGTTGTTGTTGTTGTGTGGTTTTGGTGCTGCTGGCGGGGCTCCCCCGCAAGATGGGCTGGAGCGATGTGGAAGATGTGGATGCCTCCAAAGGCATCTACGCAGTCTGTGGCCAGCTCTGGTCTGGTAATGGATCCCCACCTAAAATTGTCTCAGTCCGGCCTGATTCCGTGGCGGATAATTTATTCTTCGCTATTTTGTGTGCTTCTCGTTTCGGTGTCCGTGGGGGACCGATGGGCTTCTTCATGACTCTGCTGGATGCGTCTGGAGCAGCTCTCGGAGGTTACAACCAGCAGAGTTAACCCGTTGTGGCTGGAGGGACACTCAATGTGCAGGATCGAGATGGGTTTTTGTTGTTATTTTTTTAATGTTTGGATACTTTTTATTTTTGATTTTTTTTAGCTGTCTCGACCTCATGCTGTCTCGAAAGGAGTGACGATTTTTTTTGTGTGTTGGACTGTTCATAATGTGTAGAGTCTTTCTAGATTCTTTTGGTTGGCGGTGAACGTAATGTTTGAAGAATGTACAGGAGGATGATTCCTAATTTTCTGCATTGATGAAGTATTTTCAAGATTACGACAGTGTATTCTACGCATGAAACTACACGTCTAATGTCATTTTAACTGATAAAACGTACGTGTTGGGATCGCAAGTGTAATTCTATTCCGTCATTTCGCTTGGTTTTCACGGGCCACAGAATCACAAGCGCTCGAATTTCACGAGCACTCACAGATCTTGGATGCATGCCTGGCAGATTGCAGTTTTCGGTTGATTCTGCACAGGGTTTTGCACATCGCAACATGTTGATTACCGTTAACCATGTCCACCTGTCCTCATCAGTATAGCCATAGGTGCTACTTGATCTGATGCAACATGTGAACAGGGTTTTCGTAAGTAATCCGTCGAAGAATTAGTCGAAGGATTTGCTCACAGTTGCTAGAATGCAAGGGCGTCGATTACATACATGTGACAAGAAATCTATGTCTATTCATTTATCTTCGAGTCTACATGCAAATGCGTCATTTTGTAAGGTACCTGGTTGGCACTGGATAGAAATGTGGTAGCCCTATTTTCAAGCTTATATTAGATTTTTCTTGTCTGCCTCCAATACATGAATGTGAATGTACAGTGGGACCCCGATACAAGCTGCAAGCGCATGTTGGTTCTGGATCATATGGTGATGTATGTCGCGCAATGGATCTGGAGTTCGGGCAAACTGTCGCACTCAAGGTGTAATTTCTATCTTCTCACGTACTAATTCCTGTAATTTACTCCCTGAAATGACATATGATTTGCCAAATTGTGTGAGCACCATTCCGGCCTTGGATGTGTGAGAAGTAGATGTCAGGATGACTACCTGTATGGCCAACAATAGCTGAGTCGTGAAAGTGAGTGCAATCAGCATGTTCAAGGACAATTAGCTACCATCTCCTTTAGTCTTGTGAATGCATTGGGTCTGTAGGGTCGAGGTAAGTTGTCTCCGTCTTCTAAGCGAATTCGGAGATCTTTGCTCGAAAAAGCATTGATGTTTGTGGTCTTCTCACTGCTTTTGTTGCCTGCGCCAGAGAGTTCCAGACGTATTCTTTTGCCAAATGCTGGCCAAACGTGTGCTCCGAGAAGTGTGCATCATGCGGCGTCTTGCTCATCCCTATATCATCTCGTGTAAGCTTTCGCACTTGGAAGAGTATATACTGATGTTGAAGATTAGCGAGCACTCAAACGTGGAGATGCTCTTGAAATGTTGAGAACATTGTGTTTATGTTCATGCGTTGACTCCAAGTGGTATTGATATTGTAGTGACGGACGTTTTCTCGTCGAAGAATTTGGAGAAACCCGACTCGACAGACTTGTATATTGCAACTGAATTTGCCGAACGGTATGGTCTAATATTGTAGATCTTCAAACGTGTATCGTTTCTAGAACAGTAGTGAATGCTCGTCTAGTCGTGTTTGTGAGTTGGGTTGGAGGAGCCGACATCTTTTCATAGGCTAAATGGACATAAATGCGTGGGTGTGAATACTGTCAGTGGAGATTTGTATCATCAAGCCGAGTCAATTACAGCAGAGACTGTTCGGACACTCATCTGGCAGCTGCTTGTTGCAGTTCACTACATGCATACCTGTCATGTATGGCACAGGCAAGTAATTATGTTAACTTACTGACACATTGATCGAAACGGGCTATCAAATCCTACACCGACCTTATGTGTTTCAATAACCTGCACGATACGATATTATGATATATGGCGGTGTTTAGGTGGACATATTACCATCTTTAAGACGTGGATCGATTTTGCTTTGGCAGGGATATCAAGTCTGAGAATGTTCTCCTGACGGGAAACTTGCAAGCAAAGTTATGTGATTTCGGACTTTCGCGATCAGCTCTTGAGGTGCGTAGATTCTACTAGCATGTCTCAGGCCGCAGAGATACCTACAGTAGCTTCAGCTATTGAGGAAGCATGTCCGAGCTTAATATATTCTCCTATCGTTCTGATGCTTGTGTTTTGATTCAGACTTCAAGCCAAGTAGATGCGAAACCGACTGGGCGCAGGAAGCGACCGGTTTTGCAGAGGCAATATACCAAAACAGTAAGTGCATGTATTTGTATACTGTATTTGGCAAGGTTTCTCTATGTGAGAAGATGACGAAGCATGGCGCGAGCATTGCTCTGACTAACAACAATTGACTTTGTCATACAGATATTAGTGGCAGTCGGTTCATAAAGTTAATAAATGTTCATTGTTGCTTGCTTATGGAATTATAACAATCTCTCTATTCACCATGAATTGGATCGTAATTTCATTATAAGCATGCATTGTTTATTTATTTAGTTAGTTAGGACTAAATGAAAGATTTGTATCAAGAGGAGTAGCGTTGTTGATCTTCTAGGTTTCATTTGTATAGGTACCTATGAAAATATGTAAATTCTCAAAAGCATAGGTATACATTCGATATTCCTATCAATGAAATAAGTATGAATAATCCTACGAAATATTTCCTTTCATTGCGCAGGTAGTTACCCCAAGTCATCGTGCACCTGAGGTAGTCATGTCTCAAGGCCAGTATACTTCTGCCATTGATATGTAAGTTCAATTTTGGTATTTCGATGTGTCTCTTGGCTATTCGAGCTCTTCTAACGAATCTGATTTACATGTGATAGCTTTTTTGGATAAATTTAAATGCCATGTACTGTTGAAGTTTCGCACGAATGTAATTTTTCTAGATTTTAATTTTGATAGATATTACTCTCAAACAAGTTCTATACACTCTTGGTTTGTCGCAGGTGGTCACTTGGTTGCATCTTTTGGGTACGCTTGTCGAAACCTGTTAAGCTGTCTCATTTAGCGTAGCTCAGAAGGTTGAAACGTGTTTGAGTTCTTGTGATTAAGAAACTGGCATTTTGTCAGCAGTATTAGATTGTACAAAGTGTGAAAACATCTGCCACTACTAAGTTTAATTAGAATGAGCAGTTTCTTATTCTTTTCCTTCAGTAAATTTCGGTATAATATACTGTGAGTGTATCCACCAGGCCTATATTTTTCATGACGTATTTCGTAACAATGCCTTCCTCTTGTTTCCTGATGATCACATTGGATTGTTAGCTACTTAATGCTTTAGGTTTTTTCATGTGATTCAGGAGCTCTTGATGCGACAAAGCCGTCCTCATCACTGTGGTCCTGTGACCAAACCTCTTTTTGGTGTGCGGTACGAAACTGGTCCTGGTCTTTCTTGTAAACAGATTTAACTTATTCTTGGTGGAAAGGGATACTTATCTTTTTAATTATTGTGACAATGATCAACTACCAAGTAGTGGTCGGATTTTCAGCATCTTACCCTTTCTCAAGATGATAGTTAAGGTTCTGGAATGTCTTTCAATTGTTTCCTTCAACCTATTGTAAAAGTTCATTAGAAGCTTTTTATGATCATGATTAAGTTGAAATGTAATATTGCGGTCTTTCATTTTTTTTTTTTGTTTTTGTTTTCTTTGTCTATTTGTTTATGTACTTACATCCCTTACTTGTACTGCTTCATCTTCAGCGGAGAGCCGAGCACGCCATCACGAGGTGAAACTTATAACAGCGACATTTCATCCGAGCTACACGACCAGGTGCCACCATCGAAACTGTCCTTGTTGTCCTGGAGCATATTGCTTCAAGTTAAATAGATTCCTCTTCATGTTTGTGGATGGGTGATTTAGTTTTTCGTTTCCTCATGTCCCTAGTTCAAAGAACCATTGGGCTCTGTTTGAATTCCCTTATGTGGCTACGCCCTTTGCTTTTTCTAAGTTGAATTCGCGGAATACGGCACTGACACCCCATTCTACAGTTGGATGTAATCTTCAACGTAATTGGCACACCTTGCTGGAAAGATATTGAGAGTGTTCCTAGCGAACATTGGCGAGCCTACCTGAAGAAGGTTCCAGGAAGGGTGAGGCCTTATGATCCAACCTTTCTTATGTCTGGAACAAGATTTTTTGTGTATCTCATGACAGGAAACATCAAACCTCGATCGAGTTCCGCTCAACACACGTCACTATTGTGAGGCCTTCGTTGAATCTGTTCTGAACCTGAGAAAGAAATTGGAAAAACCAAGTAAAAGCTGCTGCTGGTGTATATCAACCCTCTCCAATCCTGACAGTAGCGTCGTGTTTAGGATTGATATCATTTGGTGTTCACATATAGCAAATGTTTTTCAGTCCAACTTTGAACTTATTGGAGAACCTGATGAGTAAAAATAGCACACGTTGTGACCGCACGTACTTTCAGGCAGGGAACATTGTGAAACAATTCACGGGCTTGATTGATGACAATGCGCTGGACCTCCTGCAACGTATGTTGGCCTTCGCTCCACAGCGACGATGCACGGCAGATGAGGCTCTTTTTCACACTTACGTGAGTAGTTGTACTTTTAGATTCTATTCATCTCCATTCTCCAACAGGCTCTTTTTTGTGCTGTATTATTTTTCTGTACGAACGTCTAGCAAAGAGTAGATCTTTAGATCCTAGCTGCTGTAGCTTCAAAATTAAAATTATTGATATATCAACTGTAAAATAGAACAGTCTATCCGAGGTTTCATTGATGTGATATTAATGACTCGATCATAATTTTAGATGATTCTTATTGATTGTATTCGTATTTAACAACACACCGGGCTTACACATTGATCATAATTTTGTGGGTTGTTGCAGTTCAAGGGTATGAATGTACCACTAGATGTCTCGCCTATTCCCTTGGTAGGAAAGGGTCCCTCAGCTCTGTCTGACCACCCAGTTTGGAAGATTACAGAGCCTGCTGTTGCTCTTGGCCTACTTGAGGTGATTTTTGTCGCTCATCTGCTGCACATATAATTCAGGTACTGTAGATATGTTTTATCAGACATTATAAAGTGGTGACGTTGTCCCTGCAGAGGGAGCTGGAGTTGTCTGCCAATCATGTGGATGGTGGCAAGCTGAAGCTAGAGCAATTGCTTCAATGTGAAATAGAGCAGCAACAGATGCAGACCAGTATGCAGCGAGCTGCTCTTCGAAGCCTTGCATCCAAAGGATTTTTTGACCGCTCGGCTTTCCCAGCCGCTGCTCCTGCGAAACAGTCTCAGGTAATTACCAGATTTGAATCACAATAGAGATTGTATTTTTGTTTCAGATTCTTATCTGATTGTTCCAGTACATTTCTTTCTGATTAGTACGTTTAAACGTGACGTATTTTGATTGCATGAATGAAGCCGCCTCGTGAAATTCAGCTTTTTCCATGCGCAATATCTCGCGCAACCGGCTCCTCTACAGGTTCATTGAGCAATCAATCAGAGCTCTGGTCTGTGGAAGAACGATCAGATCAAGCAGATTGGCAAACTGACGGAGAACCACAGAGGGGCTCAAATGATTCAGTGGTCTCTCATGAACCTAGTCGCCCAGCTGGTCTTGCATCTAGCTTAGGAAGTATTTTATATGACGGTGCTTCTGTTCAAGAGAACGAACTCCCACCTACGAAGCGGCAAAGGAAGATGACGATAAGGTATGATAGATATGAAGTTTTCAATGCAAAACAATTATGGATGAGTTCAAAGCAAAACATTTATGAAGTGAAGCTGTACAGTGATCAACAAACGTTCACAGGTTTTCAAAGTGTTACAGTTTGCAAGCGATATGTTTTTTACAAGAAAAATATGGTGATACCAGAGATTATTGCATATTTTGACATCGGCTTCTTTTTTGGTTGAAGTGCAGGCAAGGCTCCCTCTGTATAGAACTGGTCCGTCCTGATGTACAACTTAATCAGCCAGTAGAAACGATTAATGACACCAAGTTGTCTATTTCAGGATCAAGGTCTGAAAAAGGCGAAGGTTAGAGTGCCGCCGGTCACATTGACACTTGTAAGGATTGTCGATGGTTTTAATATTTGTACACCATGTAATGGTTTTACCTTCACCAGTTCATTAAATTTGTATATATGTCTCACGATTGTGGGTTCCTCCCCCTCCAACTGAAGCCACGTCCAAAACGAAGTCCATTTTTTTTTTAATCTTAAAACCCAAATATCCCGGTGTTGTCACAGCGCCAGCCGTTTCTATTTGCAGAATGTGACACAGGGTATAAAGCAATTCAGAGGAATCGTGTTTTTTTGCATCAGCTGTATCTTGTGTCGTACGGCCCTGCTACCTTGTTCTCTTTGCTCTCCTTCACACTCAACTTTGTTTATAAAGTCTGAACGCCTCGCTGTTGATGATGGTCTTTCAGCCCTTCATGTGCCAGGAGGAATATTGTCAGTGTCAGCGAGTCGTGTGTGTGGGAACCTTTCTTCGCTCTTGTTTTACATTGGTGTTTAGAATCTCTGCTCTAGTTTTTCATTTAGTATTAAGTTTACCTTGCATTTCAATGTGTACTTGATTACAAATTTCTACATGTTACAAAGGACCTGAGTTCTAGATTGTGCTGTAGATTGAAAAAATAAAAAATAAAAAAAACAGGTTAGTCAAGTAGGGAACCTTCTGTAAATGATAATAACTATTTCAAATTTTACTTGTTCCCCTTGTAATTTTCTCTACTTCTGAAAAAATATTACTTAAGAATTGGTTGCTAAATTTTTTGAAAAAAAGCATACCTTCAGTAGTGTCAAACTACCAGAAGTCATGATGACACTGAAAAACAGTACCGCTCATGTACTCCAGATGCAGAAAAAAAAGAAAAAAGAAAGTCTCAATGGAGAACATACGACTGAATGTTCCAATCATATGCATAGTAAAAAATTGGCCCGAAATCTCACATATAGATCGCGTGTGTTCATTTAATGAATTGATGCTGTATTCAGTAAGATAATCGAGATTTACCACCATCAACCACAACAAAAATTTCTTTCGAACGAGTGCAAATTAGTAGCAAAGAAACGAGTTTCGGCATAGCTCTAAAAACTCATAGAAATAGCCGACTTCTAGATCGCTTTCTCCTCTACCTTACTTCATTTGGCCTATCCCGAAGTCCTAATCTTGTGATCAGGACACAATAACTATCCCAATCCGTCCGTCGCAAGTATTTCAACAGCTTTTTCCGCTGCTCAATCATCCCTTCGAGGCCCTTCCGAGAATGCAAGTCCTGTAGATAGATACGCGAATAATTATAATTACACAAGAATAATTTGTGAAAAAAGTACCGAGTTTCAAAAACGCATGCTAATCAAAGGGGGTGCTGTAGAACCTTACTTTTTTGTGAGTCTTCATGTGTTCAGCCATATACTTGATCTTCGCTGTGAGAAGGGCAACTGCATAGAAAATTATCACATTAGCACCTTGTCGACCACCTCAATATGCGCTTTGTGCTAAAATTCGGAAAAACACCTGAAAGCACCCTAAGACTTACAAAGGTTTAGGGGTTAGGATTTAGGGTTTAGGATTCGATGTCTCCAAGCAGCATTAAAAATTGGCCATACAAAACAGCTCTACGAGAGAATAGAGTAATTATGCCTCACGGCGCTCACTACCTAGAGTTGATAGCACTATAATGTCAATTTCAAGCAACATGCAAAAATTCACATCTTCTTGATTTCTCTGCTGAAAGCATGCAACCTTCAAGGAAACAAAAAGCGTACTTTGCACTTGTGAAGAACCACAGTCTCCCTCGTGAATTCGGTACTCCTCCCTCACTTTTTGCAGCTGTATCTTGTGGCGCTCTATTGATGATAAGTGTTCATCAGAATAGTACTGCCATGCAAACAGTACTGCTCAGAACAGATCTTTGAGTACAAAAACATTCCGCCAACGGCAAAAAAATATAAAAAACAAGTTTGATACTCATATTAATATGGTCGTATTAATAGTGTTGTCACGTAACCCGGATACTTACGTTGTCAAGAAGGTGTTCCTTCGGAGGCAGAAACATGTAACCAGGTCCTTGATTCATATCTCCAAGTCTGCTGAATTGACTTAGCTTTTGCACTGCCCTCACCAGCACCCCAAATGGCGTCACACCAATGCGTCAGTGCTATAATCATACAAAAGAATGGAAGTCTGATATTTAAGACATTACAGTAGAAACATAACGTCACTTTACTCTTTTCAAGAGTTAAAGGATATGTGTACCTTAAACCCTTGACCCTAATTCCTTGGTCGGATTGAAGACGTTCCAAATGAAATGAAACAAAACCGAAACAGAAACCTTCGTATTTCATAAAATCAGAAGGAGAAGGACTCGTACAAGGCGATTCGGCAGAGGCACCCTCGTCCGTCCGAGCCTTCAATCCGCGCATGGTGAGCTGGGAAAGGTAGCTGCTGCCACTGTCCGGTACATTCTCCTCAGAAGATGACTGTTTCTGAGGGAAAAAATAATCAAAGTAAAATCGCTACGCGTTCTGATGTAAGTTCCTCCCTCAAAAACCTAAAAAAATAAAACCCCATAAACCCTCACTCTCTACCATCCCACCCTAATCTAACAAACGCTCTGGAATTGCCTTCAAATGAACTCTACTCCAATAAAAAAATTAAAAAAATAAAACTTAAGGATCAAATTCTCAACACCTTGACAATGAGGAAAACAAACTCACCTCGTCACCCTTCCTCCCCCGCATCTCCAACAAAATCTTGCTTGCAAAATCCTCCGTCCCGCCGGGCACCGTCGAATCGGCATCGGCATTCTGTTGCGAATGAAAAGGCCCTAGGGTGCTCACCCCCCTGGAACCATAAACCTTCTCTAGCGCGCTCCGCCGCGGCAGCGGCCTCAACAGCGGCCTCAGAAGCCGGAACTGAGCCCCAGGAGCCATGCTTACGAAAAAATGCGTCGCCAAGTGATCCCTCAATGCTCGAAATTGGCCTTTTCCAGGTTCATACGCAGAGCGTCTAGCGAAATTGGGGAGTAAAACCCTAAAACCCACAGAGATGATACGCCATAGCCTGGTGGTGCAACAACAATGGCGATCGGAAGACAGAATGGGCTCCTACCATCGCCATGGAAATTGGCCTCCCCCTCCCGCTTCCTGCGTGGGCGTCAGCGGCTGCGTCACGAACGGCGTCAGCGCCAGGCGTCGTCACTTGGACAAATGTTTCAACATTTGAACAATATTTCAACAATCGAACAATATTTCAACAAACAATTTTAAGAAGATCTTGTATGGAAGGAGGATTTTTATTCTACAAATTGATTCAAAATTCAACATTTCAAGTGGAACTCTAGATAAATAGTCCATTTAGGGGGAAAAAAAAATGAAGAGTTGGTCTGCCACAATATAAAGTGAATTGGAATTTTAGCTTATCTTCTATCCATATTTGTGGAGAAAGAGCTTTTGGGATTTTGAAAGGTGGATGGAGGATAATTTTTTAAAAAAATATGTGTAATTTTGAAAAAAATTTCAAATATTGTACATACATATATTGTATTATATAATGTATGTATTGCAAGTAAAGATAAGTTTGATAAAAATTAGATTTGAAAGGCCAATAAAAAGTTTAAAAAGAAACAATCAATTGGTGGTGAATTAAAGAGGGAGATTAGAATCACAAAAAAAGGGGCAAAAGTTGTTAAAATTAAAAATTAATTTAAAGTTAAGTTCTAGAAAGGGTTTTAGAAGTAAAAGCAGAATTAAAATTTAAATATAAATTATAGAGATTCTAAATTATCAATAATAATATAAATTATAGGGATTCTAAAGATATGAAAGGATATTTGATATATTTTTTCCATATAAAATACTTTTAAAATATTAATTTTAAAAAATTGTATGTCAACACAAAGAATTTATTACTACTTGTACTTCTATTAGATGTTTTAATTGTTTTGTATGTCACTATCATCTTTGTCTTCTTCTATTGCAATTATACTTTTACAAAGGATTTATTAAAATTTCAGATATCCATTTGTTCAAAAAAATTGGTTTTGATACTGATTTGATTCAAGAATCTCTTTGGCATTCTTATTATTCTTATAGTTGTACACAATTTCTTTCATTTCTTTTTACATAAATCCCACAACCCATTAAATATATGTATTATTGCCACCAATTGGATCCATAATTTAAACCAAGTGTTTACTTTTACAACAAATTATCTATTATCATGCAAGTAAAAATAAAAACTAAACTATCAAAAGAATCTATTTTAAAGTCTTTAAATCAGCTTAAAAAAAAGAATTCTAATAAAGCTATTAATTTTGGAATTTTACCAAGTAAATGAAAAGAGGGCATGAGACATCACTTGATATAATGTTTTATTATAAGGTAATAGATAAGAATTAGGATTAATAGTACTTGTGCATACAAAACAAAATACACATAAAAATAGCTTTTATTTTTATAATAATATATTTAATAATTATTATATATAGTAATAAATATAATATTAAAAATATTTATGTGCTAATTTAGATTATTATATAATTCATGTTAATATGTAATATAATTTAATTTTTTATTTTCTAAATAATTATTTTATTGTATTTTAAAAATTATAGTGCTAATTATTTCATTGTCTATTACCATGATTCTCTAGTTTTTATTTCATAGATTTTAACTCATATTTTATATATATATGTATATATATATATATATATATATAGACATTAAAACGCACATAATCAGCTTAATTTGCAAGGATATTCTAAGATCCATTCATGATAAAAGACACTCCAATTTTTATTTTCCAAACAAACCATGTTAAATCTTATAATTGACAAACAACAATGAAGTTGTGCTTTGATCTCTGAAGAGTCATTAAAATATAAATGTTAAATTTATTTTATATATAAGGCCTCTCTAGAAGCTTTAGTTAAGCATTTTGATGTTTTATATTTTTTCTTCTATAAAATTATTATACCAATAAAGATTTAAATAAAAGAAAAATTCAAAATTTAAAATCCAAAATATAATGTATAATTTTAGAGTATTGATAAAATAAATAAATAAATAAATAAATAAAGAACTTTTAGTTGTATTGTATTCAATTTGCTTTCAGAAAAAAAATCTTATTAAGGATTAAGAAATTATTTTACATATTATTCTAGTCCATTTACAATTTATTGTTTAAGATATTATTTAAATTTTATTTATTTGTTAATATTTATTTTAAGGATGTATAATTCATATAATGTATAGAGATATATGAATAAATATAACATATAATATATGAATGAAAGAGAACTTGGAGATATAATTTTTTTATAAGTCTTTCTTATAACTATATTTACTTTTAAAAAGAATAATAGACATAAAATAATTTTACAAATCTTATAATACAACCATATATACTTGTTTAGATAATATAAAATTGACATTTTTTTATATATTCTTTTAAAGAAATACCATAATTTTCTTCTTTTAAAAGATATTCTATCTTGTATCTTTTATAGATAATTTATCACACACTTTTACGTTATCAAATGTTACAAAGATAGATTTTTTTTATATCTACCTTTTAAAAAGTCTTCATAGCCATATAAAAATCTAAAAAAATCTATGCATAGAATTTATTTTTAAAACATTTCTTTGATATTATTTTAAAAAGATAATATCTACTTAATATGTTTATATCTCCTTCTATTGATTTATATTTTTATTTACATATATTTAATTTAAAAGTATATAAATTTATTAGATTATATTAAAAAAATATGTTATTTTTTAAATAAATGGTAAGATATAATGCATATGATATTCCAACTTTAAAACAAAGTTTTTGTACATAATGTTACATTATCAATTTCAACTTGTTTTCATCATAGAGATTTTTTAATGCATGTGTGATTATGAATGATAAGACAATACATTAACTTTGTTAGTAAGTTGTAGCTCAAGCAAGTAGAATGTAAAAGAGATTTCTTCATTAGGTGTTAATACTATTTTTCTTACAATTTGAATTTTTGTGAAGAAGATGCTAATTAAAGATCCATCAACTTATTTATGTCTTGTTTAAAACATCACCTAGATTAGATGTAATGAAATTGACTTGATTGTAGGTTCAAGTTGGAAAAAATTTTGTTAGTCTTAGTGACATCATAGATGGGTATATTAGTACTATTTTAAAAAAATCTTAATCTAGTTGGTTATGAAGATGTTTCTAATATATCTTATACATTCAAATAATATTCTTATTTTATTACCTATTTTCTATACTATCTTTTTATGGTCTAAAAATTTATTTTGATTTTTTTTAATCACTTGCTTGGAATTTGTAGAATGTCGAAAAGAAACAGATGCTTGCTTTTAATGTTTGTTGTGTTTATTCCATCTCAATTTGTGCCACATTGAAAGCACTATAGAAGCTTGCATGTTTTTTTGTTTTTTGATTTTATTTATATTTTATTTTTGAATTAGAATTTCAATCTACTTTGATGACATTAGCTAATAAGTAATAGACATCATTTTTAAAATAAGAAATGGTATAAAATTGATATAACAAGTTGCTAAAAGAATATATGTGATTTGAATTAGATTTCAAAGTCTTCCAAATATGACCTGACTTGTTTTATCATTTGGAGTTTTGGATTGCTATTAATTGCAAAAACTTCATTTGAAAAGATTTGATAATATTTTCCTTAGAACTAGAGGTCAATAAATTATTTTTATACAAGAGTCATTTCAAAAATCTATTAGAGTGATGAATGGATTTTTGGAACTACCACTTATATTCTGATTTAAAAAAAAAAACCCCCACATTGCATAGAATTTAGTTGTCTTCTATAATATGTGCCTCGCATGTCAAAAATGATAGAAGAGTAAGTTTACAAGTTCATAAATTTATATCATTTGTTAGTCACTTCAACTAAAACTTTTGAGCATCTTGGTTAAATAATATATGATTGTGCAAAAGTCATGTAAAATATATTATTAGTGGTTTTTTTCTTGGTATTGTATTATAATAAGACTATTGGATAAAAGAGAAAAAAAAAATGATTATATTATAGAAGAAATTAGTTGAAAATATAATATGAAATTACTTTAGAAACATAGATAAAAGTTAAGGAGATAGTAAAATCTATTTAGTGCTAATATTTCCATTATGTAAAAAGATTTTCTACTTACTTAGTATGCACATAAACAAGACAAAAAAATTAGGTTAGAAAATATAGTATTATAGGCATCTTTAGATGAAAGTAAAGAATAGCTTTTAATAAAATTTTCTTAGAAGAATCTTAGATTAATATCCAAAAAGGATATATTGTGAATTAGGATTAAAACTAAACCTTGAGGCACAAAACAATAGGCTCTCAAAAAATAGAAGTTTCTTTTGTTGATTAAATCAAAGTTGGAAATTAGACCTTATAAATTTTTTTTAAGCATTTATTTTGAAAATTTTAATTCCATAATGACTTTGTAAGAGCTTTGAAAAGTTAGGATTTTTTTGGATGACTTTGTTTTTTGTGGAATAAAAAATGAGTTTTATTTTTAGTGAATTGTATGAGATTTGTAGCAAATCTCAAATTAGCTTTTTGGGATTTGAAAATGATTTTTATTTATTTTTTTATTTTTATTTTTTTTGTAGAATTGAGCTTTATAAAAATAAATGGATTAAAAATCATTGAACTTCAAATAAGTTAGAATTTTAGAAATTGGATTTTAAAATTCACTTAGGATTTTTACGGCTTTGAATAATTTGTTTTTTGAATTGAAATGATTTTTTTGTATGTTTTCAGTTGATTTAGTTTTTAAAATTAATTTATTTTTAAAGCAAGTGAATGGTTTAAAAAGGAGTAATTGAAAATTAAAATTTGACATTAAGGTTAGAAAAGAGTGAAATCAAATGCTTAAGCTAATTAAGAATATTTTCTTTTAATTTGTAAGTTTAATTTTCTTCAAATTTTTTGTGCTTAATTTCAATTAGTAATTTAAAAAGTATAAAAATTTGAATCAAGATTAAAGATTAAAATTATAATTATTAAAATTTTAAAATTATATGTTATAAAATTTACTTAGAATTTGATTAGAATGTATTAAGATTTTTTTAAGATTTTTTCAAATTTTAATTGAGATTATCATAGAATCTTTATAAGATTTGATTAAAATTTTATAGGATTTTATAAGTTTTTATTAGAATTTAATTTGGATTTGATTAGGATTCAATTAGAATTTACATAGAATTTCTTTAAGATTATCTAAAATTTTATTTATGTTTCTTCATGATTTTTTTAGGATTGATTAGGTTTTTTTTTTAGGATTTAATTAAGATTAAAAAAATATTTAAGATTTAATTGGAATAAATTAAAATGTGATAAGATTTTCATATGATTTTTAAAAGTTAATAAAAAATATTTAGCATATTTAGAAGCTTATTTAGGTTGTTTAAGATTGCTAATTAGATATTTTTAAACAACTTATGCATTGTTTTTGGATTGCTATCCAACTTTAAGGTAAAATCAATGTCTTCCACAACTAGATGCCTAAAATTATTTCAAAATTATTTTTATATATCACAGTATTAAATTTATAATCTTCCTTTTTTATACCAATTTTTTTATTTTTATGTACAAATTAAGGAAAATATGGCCTATCTAGACATTATTATAAAAATATGTTTTATTCTATAAAGATATTTTATAGAATTCAATACCGAGTGGCTTAGATTTAGTTCAAAATGTCGTCCAGATTTACTTTAGATTTATTTTGAGTGTATTAATTTTCTAGATGAAGTGTTATTTTGTCTATTGATATTCAATGTAATATTGGCTATGCTTTGCAAAAGTATCAATTGATAGTTGATTTTTTTTGTGACTTATTGTTCTTTGCACAAATCTAATTTTATACTTTGTCTAGGTCTTAGAAGATTTGTAAATTGACATTAATATTCTTAACTTCTTTGAATATTGCATGTAATATGACAAGTTGTTCCATGTTTAATTTTGGCTTTAGAATTTCTAAATTGATATTTAGTTTGGCGGTGTCATCATTATTAAGAGCAAGGAGATTGTCAAATGTCTACTATGGTACATCAAAATTTTATATTGAAGATTAAGAAGAAACTCCAACATTTTATTAACAATCAAATCTTGCACTTTTTATTCAATGTCTTTCTTGATAGTTTTCATGTCATTATTAGCAATCTATTTTATCTTGTACAATTGTGATACTTAGTAAACATATATATTTTAAGTAATTTTTAAATGTTTCTAAAGATATCTCATCCTATGCATGTCTTATCTAGCTCATTACTTGTAATACATTAATTTTGTATAGATCTTTAGTTATATTTTTGAATATGTTAAGAACAAAGTACATTTAGATGCAGAGATAATTGCATTTGAATACAACAATAATCTTAGCATCTATTGATTAGAACATGGATATTGTGTTACAGAGGAAGAATTGAGAAATATGTATTTTAGAATTATTTAAGTTATGAATTGTGCAATTATTATCAAGAAGAAATATTTTTTTATTTTGGCATTTTGATTTGCAATCAAAGCTTTTGAGATATTTAATAAACAATGCCAATGAAATTAAAGTTTTTTTATTCCAACACCAATAGAATGCAAACTATTTTCCAAACTTCTTTATAGATGCACATTATTTTTAGGCTTTTCAAATAATAAATGGTTGGAGCTTCTCAATTCCTAAAACATTGGTCATAAATGTAATAAAAATGTGTTCTTTGGTTTTTTGTGTCTTCAATATTCTAGCTAGAAATTATTCAATTCAAAGACATTATAGAATAGTTTGGATACATTTATGTTGAAAATATTGTCTTGATTATACTTTGCAATCAATTCTTTTAACTCATGCATCTAAGTTGCAAGTGCCATTTCATTTGCACTTCTTTTTGTTTTGCACAAGGAGAACTAACATTATTTTATTTTATTTATTTATTTATTCTCTCTCTTTAAAACAAGCCATCCAACCATTAAATAACTTAGGCCTCTCTTCTTTTTTGCAAACAAAGGCTAGATTAATGCTCAACTACCTGTTTTTGCTATGATAAACCATGTTTGCAAACTTTATTTCTAGTACTAAAAAGTATAATACATATTCACAATAAACTCTATTTCACTTATTTTCTTATGCTTTTCATGATAAAATAAGATATTCAAAATTGTTGAATGTGAGTGAGCTTTTACAAAACCAAACTTGTCATTTGTCTATTTTGTAAGAGCTATTTGCATCATTTGTGCAATTTATTAATTAATTTATTGTAGATTTGTAGCTATTATGCATTTATCAAGTTTTGACATGACAAATATTGACAAAAAGCTAGTGGTGAATTGTTCTTAGTTTTTTGTCATTGTTAATTGCATGTGTGTAGTTATAATATTAAAAAATAATAAAAAAATCAAAAAAATCATAAACTATATTCTTTATTTTATATTAAATAGAAAATAGAGCATTTGTAAGTCCAATAATTACAATAATATATTAAAAACAACCATATCTAATTTAAACTCATGTTTCTATTATATTCTTTTTTTAGATACACACTTAATTGTAGGCTTTCTATAGACACATTTTAGTATAGAGTCTAAGTTGTTTCATGTAGTAAAAATTTCTAATACCAAAGAAAAATAATAATTATGTTTATTTATAAATATTTTTATTTTTATATAATAAATTTCAATATTTGATTATATTCTTGTCACCAATAAATACATCTATACATGCATACATACAATTATTAAAGGATTTTTTTATATGATTATATTTATATATATATATATATATATATATATATATCAGATCTGATTTAATGCATGAACATTAGTGTACTTTTTTGTAAAATTCCAACCTTTCACATGTTACTAAATTAATTACGATAAAAAATTATAACCTCTACCATCATTAATGCAAACTGTTTCGTATCCATTTGGGTAATCCACAACAAGTCATTTTTTCCCCAGAATTCAACCAAATGGTACCTTGCCCATCATGCTCTACATCAACTTGACACCACAACGTCCAAAGCCCACTGTGAAAACAACCTCAACAAGTCACATGAAGGATGAAATATTGCATTTTCCTCCAATTCGGGAAGTGGGGAGGGGGGAGGTGGGGCAAGCAAGGATTGCAACGGGACCTTGAGAAAGTGGCACCAGAACCTCTAAGTCCAATCCTAAGATGCGCATCTTTGGCGTGGATTATGACGTCGCCCAGCGGACCAGGAGGACAACGCAATCACGCAATCAGACAGTGCAGTGCATGAGAGGTACCCCTAGAATGCACCGGAGGAGCACTCGACGAATTCCCAACTGATGGTGGTGGTGGCGGTGGCAAATGGGGAGGGAGGGAGTTGAGGGTGCGAGCTTCCAGATGCAGCAGCGGTGCAGAGGGGGGTGAGGTGGGGGTGGAAACACGAGTGCGGACTGAGCCGCGATGTCGCGGGATACGGGGAACGGCACAGCTTCTGAGTGCTATCATCTTGCATTGGCTTGCTCCCACGTGGAAGACTGCCACTCTTCCGCCCCTCCTCGCCCCGACCTCTGCCCCCCCCCCCCTCCGCCCTCCGACCATGTCTTTCGGATCCAGGCCTTTGTCACCACCCCAATTTCATCCTTCCTTGTCCTCCCCCAATTCCCACAACCTTTCGTCCACTTTCTTGCTCCCGGTTGTGTGTGTGTTTTCTGTATGAAGTTTGCGTCGGATACACGCGAGGCCGTGGGTTCAGATTGTCGCAGTCGGAGTCGTCATCGTTGGAGGCGTATCCCCGACTTTCCCTGTGGATCTTTGGGTCTCTGGGTCTGTGTCTGCTTCATGCCATGGGTCGCGCGCCATGCTGCGAGAATGATACTGTCAAACGGGGCCCCTGGACGCCGGAGGAAGATGACAAGCTCGTCACCTGGATCGCGCAGTACGGAGCTGGTAGCTGGCGCACCTTGCCGAAAAGAGCCGGTACCAGCTGCTCGTGAACCATTAGATTCTAGATCCGCTGAGTGCTTGCGTTCCAGTGAGACCATCTGCAGTCATCTGATCGGATTCTGATGGTTCTGTACAAGATGGATGTTTGCGATATGTCGACCAGTCTCTTGGGGCAGTGAGAATAGTAACTAGCATAATTTGGATCAGCACTGCTTGAAACAGACAGTTGTGCTCGAGTTTTTATTTACAAAAACACTAACGTAATCTATAATTCATGAGATAGGGGGCGCAAATGAACTTGTTCATCTCAAGACTGCCACATAGCTGACAGACCTTCATCATGAAGTACTAGATGATGAAGCTCGTTCTGGCATGAGACGGCGTGAATCACCAATGTATATATTGAATCGAAATCGCATAAGTTACTTCTGTGATTACAGTTGCACATCCTTTCTTATCCTAGTACCGAAGGTTTCTGCAGCGTAAAGTCATCGACACTGCAACACTTGTGTAGTGTTACAGATGCTTAATCGTCATGCATGTGAATCTATGTTGTAATCTCCTGTCACAATCATGGGTTTCGTTTCATGCGCATGACAGTTGCAGAGAATATTAATCGGAATCCCTCAAATTATATCCCAAGCTGGTTGTAAAAAGCGACGTAGCAATATGGACTTGTTTGTAGTTGGGACCAGGCACCAGTCAATACATCTAGAGAACACTGGTTCCGACTTGCAATGATGGAACCAGGATCAAGCGACCTGCACAAACAATTAGTCCTACTCTTTTATCTAGAAGCGTCTGCTAATTGGGCTGAAGTGGATCAGATATTGGGGGGAGGGGTGTGAACTAAGACATCAACTGTGTTTTGGATTGGATTTCAGGTTTGCGGCGTTGCGGTAAAAGCTGTCGGCTGCGCTGGACTAACTATTTGAGGCCAGACCTCAAGCACGGACGCTTTTCTGAATACGAAGAACAGCTCATCGTCCATCTCCACGCAACTTTGGGAAGCCGGTGAGTATAGTGAGGTAGAAGTGTTTTATTTTTGATCTTGCTTACAATACTATAATCTGAAGACCTGGATTTCGTGTACTTTCGTACTTAGATCTGACTAGTAAATTTTCAATACAAGTGTCAATTACTTTCCTCGCGCAATCCCACAGAGTAGGGGTATTGCTGTAACGCAAGATTTCTTCAATTTCTGGATTGTGAGCACTGCGAGAATCTTGCACTGCTTCCGTCCCACTTCAAATTTATCTGTATTGAATGCGACGAACCACGACTTGACGGTGATGGATCTCATTTAGATAATTCGCCACTGTGCATCATATCGCAACGCGTGTTCATATCGGCTTCTCGCCTTTTGCAAGACAATAAGAACAGCATGCACTCTGCCCTACCACGCGACGTTCACAGACCGCGGCCCTGAAATGCTGAGCTTAAAGAGACTGGATGCAAGAGTGAGTCTTTGTATAAATTTGCGAGTCGTAACCAAGATTTTCTCTTGTGTAGGTGGTCCCTCATTGCGGCACAACTTCCAGGGCGCACAGACAACGACGTCAAAAACTATTGGAATTCGCGTCTTAAGAGGAAACTGTGTGAAATGGGCATTGATCCCATCACACACAAACCCATATCTCAGCTTCTAGCGGATCTTGCTGGCAGTGAGGCACTTCTGCAAGGAGGTGAAGTCGCTGAGGCTGCACTTGGTTGCTTTAAGGACGATATGCTGGACATCCTGATAAGACAGCGGTCGGAAGGATCGGACATCGACCAGTCGGCGGGTACCCATGAATTAACAACTCGGCAACCACCTCTCATGTTTGCTGCTTCAAGGTCTTGTGTCTTACAGTCCGATCCGGTCGGTGCAAATGTTCGTAGTACCATAACTAACGACCGCCACAACTCAACGTTCACCAGCCGCAATTTCGAATGGGCGGTTGTGGATGACAATAACTACAGCCTTGCAAAGTCTACACAAACAAACGAGGTAAACAAGTCTGATCCTGATAACCATCCAACGTCAATTCTTTGCGTAATTTGAACTTGATCTTACTCAGGCGCAACCACCGTGCTATCAAATCCATGTCAAATTGCATCAAACTTGACTCGCGCAAGCTCCGCGTAACCTGGGTATTCTGTAGGTCCAACAGTATGGAGAGGTGATGAATTCTAGAGAAGGCTCCAATTCCCAAAACCTGGCTGTGCCAAGTTGCCGACTCTTCCCACAAGATACCGCGAGTGAAGGTAACTTACTGTCCAAACGGATTCACGCGTTTTGTTCATATAATATATTGTAATTTCTTGGCGTTACGTGGGAAGGTGGATTGTGATTCAGCACAGTGTGACACTGCAGGTTCAAAATTCAGTACAACAGCCTGCAACCTTTCAAGTCTAGAATCCCCAATTCTGGTCAACGCACCAACGACAGTCACGAATCTCTTGTGCGATCCTTTGGCGGTCAGTTGGAGTTGCCACATCCAAGATATGCAGAGAGAGTCGATCACCGGCTGTGTTTCCGGCATCCAAGACTTGGCAGGTAGGGTCACGGTGCTTGGGTCAAGCAGCCTGCCTAGTCCATGCCACAGTGACCACAGCAGCACCACTAGTGGCATCACAAGCCTGGTCAACGGTGACGTTGAAGGGCTTGAAACCGTCTTCAGTTCTGATGTCTTTTTGTGGGACTTCCCAGAGCTAAGCTGCATTTTGAGTTGAGCAGCCCTTTTTGTGAGAAGTTCACAGTGTGAGTCGAAGAGTGTAAAATTATGACAATTTGAGAAGGAGAGTGGTCATCAATGGTTTTATAGAATATTAGAATGTAGTATACAAAGTGGGATGCTATTGAAACTAGGCCAGCAACAACTGGTTGCATTAGAAATGTCTTTTTTCTTTGTAATGTTCACAGTCCTTGCACATAGTTGTTGTGCATGAATGTGTAGTGGAAAATGATCTAGGAGAGTGTTAGTTTTGTTTTGCTTTTGACTTTTAGTTTGATGCAAAAGTGGCCATTCTAACCAAATAGGTGTGGATCATATATGATCACAAAATTAATCTCTCCTTTCAAGATTTTGTACAAATTGAACTTGACATCAATGAAAACATAATAATTGTTTACATTAGTTTTGTACAGGTATTTTAGTGTTTTTTTGAAAAAATCTATTTAGGTTTGAATATTGGATACAAACAATAAAAAAAAGACACTAATAAAACTGATGATAGAGAGGTGTGTTTGTTATGATCTACTTTAGAATTTTTCAATATATTGTTATTATTATGATTTTAATTTTTTTTTTAAATTCTAAAAAGACTTTTTTTTAATTATAATTTATTCCTAGAATATTAAGATGAATAAAATTGCAATTCTGGGTAGTAAATTTTGAAAGTAATTTATACATTCTAAGTAATTCTTAATTATTCATCAAATATTTATTTTATTTCATTTTATTTGAGATTTTTTTTTTTTTTTAATCTTAAACCTTAGAGTATCACAGAAAAAGCAAAACATGACTAGTTTTTATTGTCACGAGGAATTCAACAAAAAAAAAATACTACTACTAATTATACTGCTTATAGATTGTCTCAATAAAATAATCTAGAAAATTTCCAACTTGCAATTTAATATCTAAATAAAAGACCCTGATGTAATTTTTAAATGATTACCAATGCCAAATTGATATTTATAATTAGAAAATAAAATCAATTCTTTGCAATACATTTGCAACCAAAACACTTAAGAAAATCATAAAATATTAATAAATATAGCACCAACTAAGTTTATTATATCAAAATTAAAAAATATAGTATTGAAAGTTTATATATATATATATATATATTATCATGATTAATACATTATCTTTCTATTTTTTTAATAAATATTTGATTACGAAATTGCTTAAATTTGTAACAAAAAAAACTATGATTTTTTAATTGAATCTTATTTCAAATATATTTTTCTAAATTTAGAATATCATTTCAATAAATATAAAAGTGATTATAGTATTATAAATCTTAAATTTTTGTGTTGGTCTAAAAGTTATGTAAAAATTTTAAAATTATATACAAGTATATAATAGCTAAAAATTATATTATTTATTTAGATTACTATTTAGTACTAATAAAATTGATATAAATTTTAATACAACCACCAATTTTACTTCATTTTTTTATTTAAAAAAATATTAAAATTCTTAATTCAAATAAGAAATTTAAAATATTTTTTATGAGCATTGTTGTATAAATTAGAATCATTATATACATCATATTGAATGCCAAAAATCAACACACGAAACAAAATCTTAAGAAAACATAAAAGAATTAAACACCACTAAGTCTTATATCATAAAAATGGAATCTAAGAGTGCAAGTTTGTGTAAAAAAAACTTTAAAAGCTTCAAAAAAAGATTAATCACTATAACCAAGTAAAATCATACAACAAAGGTATTCTCTCTTTCAAAACTACTTACAAGATTTGACTTGATAAGCATGTCAAGTTAAGAGAGTTTCTCCACCTAAGTCTTTAAACCTTAATTGACATTAAAAAGGTCAATTAATGAAAAATATTAAGAAGATTAAAATCTACTAAACTAAATCAAATTAGATTTTATTTATTTTTTAGGATTGAATACTCAATGCCATATCACATGACAATTATTGTATGAATAAAGATTATTATACATAAAAAAAAAAAAAAAAAAAAAAAAAAAAAAAAAAAAAATCAAGCTCCAAAAATTAACATGAAGTATGCAATCTAAATTAAATACAAGTGCACAATTTAGAAAATCTAAAGTATTGTCCCTAGTTGATTAGGAGTCCCTTCTAAGCTAAAATAAACTTCCACTAGTTAGAAATTTGTTCTAATTCACTGCAATTAATTCATCTATGTATTCTATTATTTGTAACTATTGCTGAATTTTTATTAAATAATTCTTCAACTTATCTCAATTAATCCAATTAATCAATAGAACCTTCACCATAAATTGTACTAGCAATATAAATTCATACAAAGAAGTTTACACATAGATTTTTTTTTAATCTTTTTTTATCATAAGTCATCTATTAATAATATTTCATCTAAGAATGAGAATTATTTGGAAATAGATTTTCATCCAAAAATGAATTATCACCAAACACAAATTTTTACTCAAGAATGAATTATCATTTAACACAAATTCTTATCCAAATTCTAATTCATCCCATCTTTATTGTAACTTTGTCTAATATAAGTTCATCCACTCAAAGAGTCATTTAAGCCATACTTTTGATAAAATTACCTCTTTCTTTTTGTTGGAATCAAAATCTTCAAAAGAATATTCTTTACTTTGACTTCAATTCTATTGGCCAATACCACTTTTCTATAATTATATTTACTATCATAAATGGATCTGGAACAATATGAATGCAATTATACTTCATCACCAATGACCTTGTCTAACAGAACTAATATTGACACTTGCCACAATGTGAACCAAACTTGCTTAGTTTTGGCTAGAAAACTATGTCTTAACACTGTTGAACGAACGACCAAGACATATATAAGAATCTTGTTGTGCCTCAAGAAGTTGTCACTGCAACTTTGTTAATGCAACTAAACAATTGTCTTCTTCCTTATTGCGGATTTTTATTGCCGATTTCTATAAGGATCTCAATAGTAAGTTGGTGATAGTTGATGCATGAGTTATCAACAACAACACTTTCATGTTTCCATTGTAGTACCATAGACAACGATGATAAGTAAGTTCACATAGATGGAAAAAATTCAAATGTGAGCTACTCTAGCTATAATTAAATCCAACATCAACTCGATTGTACTTCTTCTTGTCTAAGTTACTTATAAGCCCATGAGTACATACAATCCTAAGTGTAGCTGAGGATGTACTAGAGATAAGATTTTGGAAGAAATAATGGACAAAGTCATCAAAGTGTATTTAACCATTGTAATACAACTGCTACCTTCAAAAGACAACTGCAATAGGGGATGTTGATGCTCTACTACCCTTGAGCAGTGCACGCACCAAATTATATCATTCAATATAAGAGAAAATAAATGCCGTGGAAGTTCAATACATCTAAAAATATTTTTAAAGTACAATAATATAATAACTAAGAAAAGAAAAAAGAAAAAAAGAAAAAAATCCAATAAACAAAAATGAAATTGACTTGGTAAATCTACATATGAAAGAATCATACAAAACAAGTTTATATTGATATCAAAACCTTAATACAATACACCAAATTTACATAGCCCTCCAAAGATCAAAATTCAACAAAGGACTACAAAAGGCCCTCAACACTCCTTTTTTGAGCTACCACTAAACACAAGAAAGAAAATCATCAACATAATTGCTGCATTTATACACTATTTATTGTTGGTTTTCTTTATTAAACACAATTAACAAAGAAAAACAAAGAAAATGAAACTTTTACAAAGTTGATTAATTGACAATATGTTAGTTAATAAATCTACTCACTTAGGAGTTTAAGATACAAAATATACTTAAATTATAATTTTATTTGAGTTATGGTATCAATTAATAGATTTTATTCTAGGATCTAGTATTAATAGTATAGAATAATAAATTATTAAATTATCTAGATGTAATACCTATATAATTGTCTTATTGATCATTTAAATTGCTAATAATCAAGGACTTTTAGAAAATTAAAATTAAAACTTAAAGAGTAGCTAACTTCAAAAGAATCTCATAATGCTTATATCTTTAAAAAATTAAAATTAAAAAAAATAAAATATAGAAAAGTTAAAAAAAAATACTCTTTTTACAAAATAAATAATAATAAATAAATAAATAAATAAAATAAAATAATAGAAAAATAGGAATAAAATTAGATAATAGTAATTAAAAAAATAGTAGAAAAAAAGATAGGCTAGGGATTTGATTTTTTCAAATGAAAGCTTCTAGATTTTTAAAGAGAAGTTGATAGGGTCCGAAATTGTATAGAGCCTCGATCTCATTCTCTCTCTTTTAGTTCTTTTCTTATTCTAAATTTTGGAGCTCTACATTTTAAGGCTATTATAATTGGAGTGGCATTCAAGTAATATTACAATATGTGATAGTATCAAGCAAATGTAGCATTCTAATGCTTATTAAATTATAATTGGTTGCAACAACAAAGACTTACATTATTCTAATTTATATTATTTTTTTGGTGCATTACTCTTGATTAGGCTCTCTCTCTATGACAAGGTCGCTGGGATTGATTTTTATTCCAATTATTATTAAGTTTTACAGAGTTATTTTATATGGCACAAGTGATTTTTTCCTATTTATTAGATTCTTGTGCTGCTAATTGCAATGTAAACAACCTACTAGATATCATTTTCTTTTCTTTTTTTTGTCTCCATCTTGGATTTGAGAACTCCGCAAAGTTTGATCTATTAAAATTACTTTTTCCTTCACTTTTGGTTATGATTGCAAAAAAATACTATTTTTTTCATAAATGCAATTGAGGAGCTATGCTAAACTTCTTCTTGTTTGGAAGGTTCTTAGTTTTGTCCTTCTTAAGCAATTAGTGCCATTGTCGATTATAGAGTAAATTCAAGCAAAAATGTTGTTCAAGCTAGAATTTTGGTTCTTTTTTCTTCGTGCTTTGCTTGCAAGGTGCAACAAAATTTTCATTTCAGCTTTAACTTTGGTATTTCTTGTGATATTGCTTGATATTATTGATTTATTCTAGAATAGAAATGTAATTTTTTTTTAGTTCTATGATTTGGCAATTAAATAAAGTTACTCATTAGATTTTTTCTTAATTTTTTCTTTCATTTTTCACCTTATATTGTGATTTCATTATATTTTGTGTTTGTTTTTATTGGTTTCTACATAACTACTTGTTTTTTTATTTGTTTTCTTGCTAGAAATCTCTTCATTATCGAGATTCTTCTTCAATTATCTATTTTTTATTCCTCAAATTCTTAATACTATATTGATAAGGCTCGTTGTATTATAAATCAGTAGCTAGAGTTTTGTGTCTTTTGATGTTTGCTTTGTACCATCAATGTTTGACTTAGTGGTTGGTGCAAAGCCTTAAGCAGTTGCACCAACATTATTAAATTGTTTGTTGTCTCTATTATAATGAACGGGCAACTTTTGGAAAAGTTGTT